CTAAGCCAGCATTCCTCAAGCTTCCCAATGGAGTGGAATTCAGCTTCCATAAGCCCCAACCAGCATCTGGGGTGAAGCGTGTGTGTTTGTATCAGGTAAAGAAAACTATATGAAGCCAAAGAAATGGTGTAAGTTTTTCTGTGGTTGGCCTTGCCTGCATATTCTCTAGCTTCACAATAACTCTTATCTAGGAACCTGCTGTGGTGCCATCAAGGGAGCTGGCCAACCCTTCCTGTCCTTGTCTGCTCCTGTGCCTGAGGTCTGATATGGCCAGTGAATAAAACTTTTGGAAAGAGGGAGCAAATCATAGGGGCCTTTCCTTACTAGGAATCCTTCCTATATTCAGTGACCTGCAGATCACAATGTTTTGAATTCACTCTTGATGCCATGACATGTTTTGTGGTGATTCACAACTGACGAAGTCTACCTTAATTATACATGTCAATCCTGGCTTGCTATCATCAACAAGTGGTGACTACTACTGTGAATCAGACTCTGGTGGGACTCTTTGTAATATGTGCCTGCAGTTTCCCTTTTTAATATCAAGAATTAGTGCCTGCCTTGCCTCTTAACTACTTTTCTCCTTCCCTTCCCAACATCATCAAATGACATCCTGAGATGTCAGGCTTATACTGGGCTGATACTAATTAGTGCCCCACACAGTCTATCTAAAGCTGTCTATCTAAAGTTGATGCTTATACAAGCCCTTTGTAGACTATAACCCAGTGTTTCTCAGCCATGGCAACCTGTTGTTGAATTCCAAACATCTTCAGGTTGCCAAGTTTGGGAAATACTGCTATAACCAATATAGTAGTATCTGCATTAGGCAGTATACTGTAGTTAAACTCATTGAAGGGCTGAATGCAGGCACTCTAGTAGATATGTCTACTGGCATCCTTCCCCGCCCCCATTTCTAAGCAGACCTCCAGTGTTACCTGGAAGAGTGGATAATCAAAAACCAATCTATATTAATAAAAGGGCCTTTAAAACTTTAACAACAGAATGGCCAACATGTTCCTGATTTCCAGGTTTGTCTGGACCATCTATTTTTTTTAATGTTCCTTTATTATTTTAGAAAGTAACATCTCATGCAGGAGAACACAAATTTCTAAGCAACACTATTGCAAGAATGCTTCTGGGATCCATTTAGGTTCCACAGGTATTCCTAGAAAATAAAGATGGGTGGCTGCAGGCCCAATGCGTTTGGATTAAAAAAAAGAAAGGGAGGAGTGGTAGAATACAATCTAGAGCAGGGCTGTCAAACTCGCGGCCTGGATGCGTCATTTGCTGGCCACACCTATGCCCGGTTTAGCGAAGGGGGGAAAAGTCATGATATGTCATGTGACGATGCCCTGACAATGTGAGTTTGACACCCCTGTTCTAGAGGGTTAGAGGGTATGGCAGGAAGTTATCTGGCAAATGGTATAATGGGATTGGTCATGACCTCTATGGTAGAAATTTTGTGGATAGCAAGTCCTTTGAATGACAGCTGTTTTATGAAAGCTACCATCACTTGTTTCTATTTTTCCAAATGTGTTCAGTGTCATAAAAGGTTTTTTCAGCTCTGCTCTCATGAAATGAATGTAGATTCTGGACTCAACAACTTAAATTCCTTTCAGTAGCAGTTTTGTTTGGTGCAGATGATGGGCATAAACAGAATATTTTTTCCCTTTGATAACCTGGTCTAATTACCTCTTATGTCCTTATAGTTACAGAACCAATCAGTAGGTTTATCCCATGACTCCAAATGCTATTCTTCAACCTGCTGGTCTTACCTTAAATCCTTAAGCATGCATCTGAATAGGATGTTCTAGTTTTTGTATATGAATGTGGGCAAGAATTCCCATGAGATTTTGAAATCAGTGTTTCATGTACAGGGAAACATACTCATGACAAGTTGGTTGTTTGACCTTTTTCTAATTCACCAAATTTTCTTCTGTGAATACCATTTGTAATAATGTATTTGGAATAGATCTAAAACTGGTTTGAACCTGGTTGGTACTTGGATGACCAGGACATTTTAGGGCCATAGAATAAATTGAAAAATGGAAATAACATTTTAGAAGAAGGCTGGGACAAACTGCTTCCATACTGTTGCCAAGAGAATTAGATAAAGGAATTTGTACATTCAGCAGAAATTGTGCTGGTTTATAAGGTGTCTTTATCTTCACCTTACTCATTCCATAGCTAAAAGAAAGGTAGTTGGAGACAGGGCGGGGCAGGAACAGAGGGATATTTCAGAAAAAAGTTTGCGATGAAGAATTAGTAGGCCAGATAATTTTGGTCAATTTTCCTCTGATCCTCCAGTTTGCTTCTAAAAATTTCCCAGTTTTTTTTTAAAGTTTTTTTCCACAGCCTATTAAGAAGATGTTTAAAACCTTTCTTTATATGCTTATGACTTTCCTAAAGGAAGTCTTATAAAACATTCAGGTTTCTTCTAATTTAGCGGGGAAGAAACTCAACTCAAAACCTATACAGTGTTCAACTATCCTCTTATCCCATGCTATAAATACCTGTACATCTTCAACAAAATGTGGTTCTACCTTAAGTGGCTAAGCTTAGATTTTGCTATAACCCTAGTAGGTATCTTTATGGAAATCTGTTGTACTGAAATGGGTAAATAAGGACAAATTTTTGTATGTATGTATGTATGTATGTATATATTGAGCTAATAATAAAATTGCAGAATGACATCATCATCTTTGACTTGTAGGTTTTTTTCCAGGATACTTTCCACTTCCAACTTGATCAAAATTTTGCATCCACTTATCTTATACCAAACTCATTTGAGGTTTTGTTGGAGAAAATTGGCCTTTATGGAAAATTTGGGGGGAGGGAAATCACATTTCCCCCAAAACTTCCTTTTCTTATAGCAATGTAAAATAGACATAAACAATCCTCAAAGACTGGGCATACAGTCACTCTGCGTAGTCTTGGCAAAAATGCTAAGAGGAAGTGTTTTCCTTCTGGTTCTGCTTCCTTGCCCCTGAGTGTTGATGGGGGAGATTAATTTATAGTGGGCTGGAAAAAAAGAAAGAGCTGGCAGACAGACAGAAGGATTAAAGTCATCTCTAAAGGGAAGAAAATAAATAAGAGAAGGGTGTTCCTGTGGCTCCAAAACTGCATCCTGTATAACCCTTTCTTTTCTAATTCTGGACCCTTTTCAGATTACAAGGATAAAACACCAGGGGGTCATTTTTGAAGCAGATGAAAAGATTAACATAATATTAAAAACCGAGAGCCCATTCTCAGGAAAACCCAGCTGTCTCTAAGTGTGTGAGATAAACTCACCATGTTGCATTATGATTTTCCTGCAACCCCCACCAAAGAGTTTTGCATGGGTTCTGCCCTTCAAAAGATTGTCTACCTTAAAATTGGATGGCTCTAATCAAATCAGTCTGCAAATCTTGTGTTCCGCTTTCAGTCCACTTGGTTATGAAATTAAGCTGCAAATGCTTATGGCTTTATTTGGGAGTTACTCCAATTGATGGGGTTTAAGTGGTTTTTAAAGTCTGTTTTCAATTCTGTATTGGGCTGTGGCACAGCTTCTCTCCTTTATTATAGAATTATTTCCTTGATCCTCCTCCAAGGAGTTCAGATGGCGTAAATGGTAACCTTACAACCACCCTTTGAGGCACATCAACCTCTGAGAAACACCTGCTAGGATTTGGACTCAAGTCTGCCCTGTCCAAATCTGTGACTAGTTAGTAAGAATATTTTTTTGAGGTTAAGAACAGTTATCAGATTATTACCTATCCATCTTGCAGAAATAAGTGGGCATTTCAGCAAGTAAATTGCAATGAAACATTACATTCCTGGTTTTTTTAATGAAAAAAATATATAGCATTGCTTAGCAAATCTAGGTGTGCTTCCTGCTTTAATTTTCTTAAAAATATGGGGTAGGAGCCTATACTTACATTTGTTTTTCTTCAGGAGACAATTTACACTGATAATCTTCCAGCTGATGCTACTTATGATAAGGAAGGGCAGACTTTACAGGACATTTTTATGTCTCTTGGTGTGATCACAGATGCCCGGAGATGTTTCTCACTACTTAGTAGGCAACTAAGTAAACATCAAGGAGATTGAAAAATTATCTTCCCGGTATAGTGAAGAGCAATCACTCGGGTGCTTGTAATGTTAAGCCTCTCGGGCTGACTTTATTCTCCTCTAGTTTGCGAAAGCTTATGGCAGTCAAATTATGTCAGGACTGAACCGGGCAAAGAGAGAGAGAGAGAGCGAAAGCCTTTTTGGCTACTGTGTAGAGTCTGTAGACAAAGTCTCCGGCTGGGATGTCTCCTGTAGCTACGGTAGAACCAAGAGGGGCCGGTTTGTTTCTTTCTTTGTTTGTTTTATCTATCCTGAAGAGTAGAACTGTGGAACAGAGAAGTAAGAGGGGCAATGACAACAATTGAGAAAGGGGGAAATTGCCTCCCATTGATAAGAAAAAAAAGAAGTGGCAGGAATGCCAGGGGAAGGGGGGGAAAAGCGGGCTGGCTATCTCAATAAGAAGTGACAGCAGGCACGGAGAAAAGACTGGGAAGAGTTTATAAATGGATGGAAAGTGACAGCGGAGGGGCAGGCGAAGAGGGAAGGGAAGCAGCCAGCTCGTTTGCTTGACAAAGAGGCGCTTCGGGGCTTAGGGCGAAGGAAGCCCCCTGCTTGTGCGGTCAGCCGGAGATCCATCTTCTTGCATCCTGAGGACCTGATCCTTCTGAGCACCATTAGTTGCTCGGACGCACATACAGTCCCGCAATGCAGGTAAGCCACCTCTGCGACCCTCGACCATTGCGGCGGTTAGGGCCCAGGACAAACGTAGCGGGGAAGCCGGCAGGAACACAAGAGGCGAGAGCGCGCAGGGAGGGAATGATCCTGGGAGGAGGAGGAGGATGGATGGATGGAAAGGAAGCTCGCGTAACAGAAGACGAAGGGGCGGGATTGGGTGGCTGGAGGCGGGGAGGGATCCGGAGACGGCGACTCCTCCCTTGGGGAAGGGAAACGCAGCCACAGCCGTAGCAGCGCCCGGGCGGCTCACCTATCACCAGGTTTCCCCCTTGCGCCCGGGCGCTGAAGACAGCGGGATCGGGGCCATGTTCAACCGCGGATCGCGGCGCCGACGATCGACCCGAGCCGTGAGTCCCTGTCAGTGGGAAAAGGGATGGGTTGGGGAATCGGACCGTGGCAATCTCCGGCCAGCCTCCGTGGAGGCAGCCGCCGCGGCCCATTCGGAGTTCGGGGGTGGGGGAGGGAAGACCAGGGAGGCCGGTCGGAGGAAGAGATCAGAAACGGCACGAGGCGCTGTAATGGGTGGGCGGGGAGAAGAGGCGGCGCGGCGGGGCTGGTCCCAGCGGGGTGTAATTAACTTCATTCCCTCTCCCCAAAGGAGACGTCGTGGGGCGGCGGGTGGGGAGGGGGGGGAGATCAGGACTGTATTGGAAAGAGACCGAACGGATTTTCTCACGCCAAGGTTCCCTGGGAATCCTCGGGATAAAAGGGATTCCTCCCTTCCCCCCCCCACCCCCCGCCCAGAGGATGAAGGTGTTCGGATTACAGGGCAAAAGAGGGCGCAGGTAGGTCGGCCTGAGGGCTGGCGACACGCGAGGAGGGGGCCGAATACCTTGGCAGCAGCTCTTAGGAGGGATGTTGGCGATAGACTCTGGGTTCTGTTACTTCCCCGAGATACCCCAGACCCTTGGAGAGAAGGGCAAGAGAATTTCAGCTACCCCACCACATCTTCATAAGAGAAGATGCTGAGTCTGGGGCCAGAAAGGTATCCTGTGCAAGTTCTAAAGTGGGTGATGCCAATTGCATTAAAGCACTGCCGGTACGAAAGACAAGCGAGACACTATATATCCGCAGGAGGGCCACCCAAAGGGAAGACAATGCTAGTTTTCCCAAAGGCAATTGCCATTATCTGTGGCTGTGCTTTGGAGACCCATTGTCTTTGCAGGGTGTTTTGTAAATCAGAGGTAGGTGGCATGAAATAGATAGCTGGGGATGCCTGTTGGATCATAGGGTTTTGTTTTTGTTTTTTTCCAAAAAGCAGCATAGCCATCTGTTGCTCAGGAATTTTGTCAACATACACCTGAATCAACACAAAACCTATCATGGGAACCACAACCCAAAACATCTGGATTAGGTTGGAGACTTGTAAAATCTTTCTTAAGCTCTTAATTAAACATGCTTTATTTCAGGGGAAATAATTCAGGGGGTTGAAGGAGGGGGGGGAAGGAGGAATTGTGGGAAGGCCGCAATTCATCAATATGTGGAGGGCCATAGCATGACCTTATTTCCTGCTTTGAGATCCTGAATGGGGCTTTCTTAATAAATTAAAAACAAGTAGACAGACTGTAGAAATTCTTAAGAAAAAGGTGGATGATGCAAGCATGAAGTTTGCTCACATGAAGATGGTTATACATTCTATGTAAATGGTCCCTGCATATCCCTAACCTTTCACCTGTAAGCAATACCCAAAAGCATCCAGTTGCCCATAACATCCATGTGCTAAGTTCATTAATAAGAGCATATGGAGTCTTCCAGTGAGACTTTTTGTCTTGAAGGTGGAAGATTTTGTTAAAGTGCCATGAAGGTTAGTGGTATTCCAGAGCCAGAGTTGGACTGGGGTTGAGGAGCCCAAAGTTTAACTCCACTCTCAGCTGTAGAAGCTCTTTGGTAATTTGAGATAGTCATTCTATCTCAGTCCAACTTGCCCACAGAATGGTGAGGAAAACTGGAGGAAGGAGCATAACGTGCACCACCTGAAGGAAATGTGGGATGGGAATTTAATACATGAACCACAAGCAAAAAACATTCTGCATCTAGGTCTTTGCTGGAGGAGCATATACCATTAATTTTGGTATTTGTAGGAGGCACAATAAAAGGATAGGGAGAGGCAACTTAACAGTGTAATAACATGTCTAAATTGTTATTAGAGATATTTTAGCTTCCGCTCAATGAGGTCCTAGGAGTTAAGCCAAAGGCTTCGTAGAAGAGGTGGGGTTTGAAAGAGGGAGGTGGTAACAGGTGTTCACCAAGGCACTTCCAGGAATAAGGGGAAGCACATGAGCATGGTCCGACCTGAGTAAGGTAACTTTTTGATAGCTTAGAGTTGATGATATGAAGATCTTTGCTTGAGAGAGTTTTCAAGCTAAGATTCAGGAGTTTGTGCTTGATGGTGAAAAGCCTTTGTAGGCTAACTTCTGGTGTGTGATGCAAGCTCTGGTAGCTCACAACTGTCTTCCAGCATCTTGCTTTCATTCTTCATTCTTTGGATGCTCTGCTTGGTTGGTTGCCTCCGTCTGCTAAATGGTAGGGTGCTCCAGTAGAGAATCCTATAATTGGACACTCTTGTTTGAGCTTATTGTAGACACCTGACTGGAGAGAGTGTCCTTCGTTTGATGTATGGGCTGATATGAGGGTGTGTGTATAGACAGATACTTCTGGACTTTTCCACTTTTGCTTCTTTTAGAGATAAAACAGTTAATTCTCTCTCTGCCCTGGATTCCCTCTTCTAGGGCAATCCAAATTAAGTCCATACTTCTTGTTTTGTCTTGAGGACTGGGGGCAACTGAACAATAATGGTGAGCATCTGTGAATAATGTAGATGGCATTTTTCTCTCCTTCACTGAAGTTTGAGTTTTGGAGCAGTGCCTTGGAAGGTGTAATATGGATGGGAGATCCAAATTGTGAAAGGGAGGGCATGAGTGAGCAATGTTTTTGTAGGACTCCAAGCCAATTTTCTGAAAAGCTGCAATTGGGGTTTCTATTTATCCAAATCCTTAGTAATAAATCAGTGGCATTTTGCCTTTTCTTCTAACAAAGCTTTTTGGGTTTTGTTGGGCTATTATGGAGAAGATTATAGAAACACAAATAGTTATGTGGTAGAATACAAAGGAGTCACATAATGGTGGATCCCCAGTGTGGAAGGGGGTGTGGGAGGGTGAGGTAGAGGTTTCATATTATGTCTGCCCTGGCAGATTTATCAAAGCATCATTTGATGAACTATATCCTTCCCCCTTGAAATCCCTTCTAAGCTGCAAACGGCTGGGTAGATATCAGTTAACAGATGTGAGGGGAAAGGAATTATGCTGCTTAGGGATTGTGGGTACTCTAGTTTAACACAATAGCTGTCCGTTCTGTTGGGAAATGGTGGCTTCTTTGCTTTTTTTATAGAAAGTGCAAATATTTGAGTATTTGCAGAACACACTTTTCAGAAGAGATTTATTTTTAAGAATCTTAGGGTTGTTTCTCTCTGTCATCTTATGGAATTAATGATAAGTGCTATATAAGGGGCTTTGGGACACGTGCAGAATGCTTCTCATTCTGAGAGGTATATTGTATTCTATGAAATGTTAGCCACGTAGAGATCCTAGTTTACAGGTCTCTTTTCAATTATTTTTAAAATGAGTAAGATATACGTTGCCATTCTATAGATAAATAAGAAAAGCATAAGATGAAGTGCCAGTAGTGAATTAAAGCTGGTAATTTGAGGCTTGAAGGGGAAAAATGGATGATGGATGGTCCAGGGATCAGCTTTTTTTTACCCCTTTCCGCTTGAGCTCACCATTTCTGGCATTCTCTTGGCCTAAGGGTACGAGCGGGGAATAAAATACTCGAAACCTCTTTTTTCCTGCCCAGTTCAGGCGGGGCTTCAGTAAAGTTTGCCTGGGGAGGAAATGGGAGCGGTTCCCGGCACCTTCTCCCTCTCCCTTCCGAGCGCCTTGCCTCCCGCTCGCTCCCCCTTCATTCATCCAGCGTTGGCGTGATGAAATCCGTACACGAAGGAGCCAAGATGGACGGAAAGTACCCAAAAGACCGTCTAGGAAAACTCCCGTCCCGCTCTATGCAATTTCGCAGCTGACTAAACTCTCCTTGTCGTCGCGCTCGCGTACCCGCTCCGGTCTCCGGATGGTCCCCGCCGCGCGTAAAAACTTTCCAAGGCACCTTTTTGCTGCCGACTTTACTCAGTCACCTGTAGTGGCAGGAAGCCAACGTCTGGCCCTTTCCTGCCGCGCCGAATACACAGACAGGTCGCGGCCTGTGTGAGCTGTATTTTCCCCACAATTCCCTGCTAGTTCCTTACGGTTTCCTTGGCGTTCCCTTTCCTAGGCTTGTGCAGGAACAGAGTTTCACCCGCAAAGCTCCTTGCTTAGCAGTTTCACTGGCTTCCCACAGCTGGGCATGGAGGAACAGACCCTGCCACGAATAGACATGGACACACACACACACACACACACACATCATTTTTCTCACCAGCACTGGTTGGTGGTGGCAAGGCAAGAGAAGAGAGAGTAGACATTGCCACAAATAGACAAGGACACACACACACACACACACACATGCACCATTTTCTCAGCCGCACTGGTTGGTGGTGACAAGGCAAGAAGAGAGGGGGTTGCTTACGGAGCCAGTCTTGACTCCTGGTGACTATCTGAACAAGTCCTTGCAGTTTTCTTGGCAAGGCTTTTTGGAAACTGTTTGCCTTTGCCAGCTTCCTAGGGCTCAGAGAACGGGACTGGTCCATGATCTCAAGAGCCCTTATAAAAAAAAACATCCTCCCTGCTTCAGACAGAGCCTGACCAGAGGTTTTGAAGGCTGGCTTCAGGCCATCCCTGTTCCTTTTTCTGGAAAGTGAGTTTTGGAAATAAATAAATCTCTTATTTCTATACCCAAATTCAGTCCTGCCTCCCAAGTATAGTATAGGTGGTCCTCGATTTATGACCACAGTTGACCCCCAAATTTCCATTGCTAAGTAAGACAGTTGTTAACTGAATGTTGCCTCATTTTCTTGCTGCAGTTGTTATTAATGTGGTTGTTAAGTGAATCTGTTATTAATGTGGTTGTTAAGTGAATCTGGCTTCCCCATTGACTTTACTTGTCAGAAGGTTGTAAAAGATGTTCACATGATCCTGGGACACTGCAACCGCCATAAATACATGCCAGTTGCCAAGTGTCCGGATTTTGATCATGTGACCACGAGGATGCTACGATGGTTGTTAACTGTGAAAAAACGGTCACAAGTCACTTTTTTCAGTGCCGATATAACCTCAGTCACTAAATGAATGGTTGTAAGATAAGGGCTACTTCTACATATTCTGTAGTAAAAGCCAACCTAAAAATATAAGCAATTCATTTCAAATGGAAATTGGTGAAATGTTGGGACTAGTTATACAAGCATTTGGATTGACAGCACTGATGCTTCCCCCTCTGTGGATAGAGACAACTGGAATGATTGGGGTCGGAGAGTATCAATGGGTACCCACCTGGTTAGGTAGATACCGAAAAGTGGGCCTCACCCACAGTGGTCTTGTGTAAGATTCCTGCTAGTGAATGTATACTGATCATGCTGGCAGGTGGAAGCGGGTTTTGGGTTTAAGTAGGACCTTTAGGGTGGAGCCCTACCGGGAACATTGGGAATTGTGACATGGATGCCATTGCAGTTTTGGTGGTTGATTTCTTGCCTTTCTGTCTTACATCAGCTGCCTGAACTGGAGGACCCTGACCGGGGCCAACCGTGTCAGGCGTGTGGGGAGCAGTGCCCAGGCTTCCTAGTGCATGGATGGAGGTAGGAGAATGTATTGTCTCTTCTTTGCTCCACCGAGTCCCCCCTCCATGCTCCAAGTGGCTTTTCCATCCCGACCTCTCCCTGGTTTACTGGGCTGCCATATGTTGTTTGCATTCATTGTTTAGGGTCACCATGCTTTTCTCACCCAACCTTCCTAAATCTGGCATCTAGCAGTTCTCAATATTCTCAGCTGGCACAGTCAATTATAGGATGTGTAGTCCTAACATCTTGGAAGGCACCAAGTTAAAGAAGTCTGATTTTAGCTGCTTAAAACAATTTTTTTCCTCTCATTTTGAAACCCATATTTAACTTGCACAAACAATACAAATTACGCTTGTCTGTAAGTGGGAACCCTTACAAGGTTAGACTATTGCCTTCACACTCCTACAGGGGCGTGCATAAGCGCAGGGGGCGTGCATAAGCGCACCAACATGCCTACCGTCCCTGTCCTATTGTTTCTCTTATTTTTCTTTTATTTTTCTTATATGTACCCATTTCATGTATTCACAACTATGTATACACTTATACTTATTATCTTGTAAACAATTGTCAAATCAAATCAAATAAATAAATAAATAAAATAAATAAATATCTACTCATAGGACTTCTAGCCTAGTATATCTAGAAGAGGCCAGGCTTTGGAGGAATACACATCTTGTTGCACATGCAGTCAGAAGCTGACTTCTGAATAAACATGCTTAGGGCTGCCTGATATGCTCCCCACCCCCTTTAATTCATTCTGACATCTGCCTTTTCTGCTTGT